ATATAATATAATAATATATATAGTAACAGTGCTATAAAGGCAGAGAAATGATTCTACATGAATAAACAATATGAAAATGTAAAGTAACATGTTTTATTGTCAAAATAAAATATAGATAAATGAGTTTGAGAATGCATCTGTCTTATTATTAAAATGAAATGAAAGATGTAAAGAAAAATGAGTTTGTGAAGCCATAAGATTCATGTGCCCGAGTATCTACAAGAAGTAGAATCGATTGGTCATGATCAGACGCGTCAGCTGATTCATATTTATAATAGCACGCGTTTTCGCTTGACTTCCAAACTCATTCTTCTTCCAATTGGTGCTTCAAATGAAAAAATATTATTCTACATTTTCGACTGACTGTGCCTTTGGATTGCTTTCGGACATAATTAGCTTTACATTTACCGAATAAGATGTATTAAACTTCTTTCATTCTTTTATTTTGTTTTAATGTGTAATTTTTTATTCGATCAATTTAATTCAATGTTTTATTCAATAAATATAAAGTTAATTATGCCTGAATTGGCCATCCCAAAGTAATAGGCTCCGCTACCCAATATAATCATTTTGTCCACGTATTTTCTGCAGATTTGGATCGTTAAAAAATGAGTCCTCTGTGGTCTCGGTACCTACACTCAGTGGTCCTTGTACCTTTGGTCTTGTATTGAATAGTGTATTGAATAGTTGGTTTAATATAACTTTCTACTTCTAATGTACCAGACTCGATTAAAGTAGCAATTTTTTAACATACAGGATATATGTATACATAAAGAACTGTATACATACTAATTGTTTATAGTTCAAAGCATGCTTCTTTTTTTTCTCTGAGATTGTCTTCATACTTCTACAGCTAAGTGAAGAAGTATTATCAAATATTTTACCTTTTCAAAAATATCAGATTGCCAGTAATTATAGAATTAAATCCTTCCAATAAAATGGAACTTACCACTTTTATTACATTGCGTTTAAAAAATCGCATAATGGAGTTTCAGATTTACTAATGACGTGGTATCCATTTGAATGGAGTAGTTAGTGTGAACAGTTCGCTTGCCTTCCATTTTAATTTTACATTTTCCACATTTGTTAAAAGCTTTTTATAATTCCTCGATTTCTCAAATGAAACAAATGGCTGCGATTAAATTGTGGCTCGACGAAGTAAATTTGATAGCAAATCGTTTCATATGATTTAATCACTCGATCAATGTAATGCGAGTTCTCTAAAAGTCAGTACTAAGTAAGTACTTTAAAATCTATAATCGTTTACCACTGCACGTAAAAGTATAGACGAAAGAATATATTTACTATTAGATAATACATCTATCAAGTATTGATTTATCAACCAAAGATTTTAACAATAATGAGCTTTGCGAGCAATAAACAAAAATTGGAATAATAGTAAATTCTCCCTAATTGACGCTCAGCTTGTACATAAAAATTGGCAATTTGGGAAGACATTATTTTATAGTTGTTGACAATCGGCAACTATAAAAACGAGCCGCAAGGCTCGAATAATCGTATCTCCTCTATACAAATTGTCCATCTTTGTGTACAAGCGTCAATTAGGAAGAATTTACTGTACATTGATCGACTTCTCAGTTCCCCATATGAGCCGTTTATTTTGAAAGTGGCATAAGTCACTTTACCGTAATGAAAAGTGGTGATTTCTTAATGTTTATACGAAATTATTTATACTGAGAAAAATATCAGTATCCTGAGATAACAAATACAAGTAAATCTTCTAGAAAGTTAGCATCCATATTTTTAAACGTGTTAAAACGCGAACCCTTAAATATATCGACTTAAAAACAAAGTAACTTATGCCACTTTCAAAATAAACGGCTCATATATTGGAACTTTTGAACCTAAAAATACGTAAAAATTCTAACAAATGTTAAATACATTTGCTGAATACATGTGCACATTTCTCATACAAAAGCCATAATTACATACATATGTACATTGGGGATACATTTTATTCTAAATTCTGTTGCAATTTCTAACACGAAATCATTCTACTGATTCTACTGTATTCATCCATGTTAACCTTATATTGCTCCTAAAAACTTATCTAAAATAAAGAACGTATTTGAAAAATTTGTCAGCCTATAATTACATTCTCACGTAAAGATAAGTTTTGCATTGCATAGCATATGTCGCGCAAAAACTAGGAATCGAGAATTAAAAGAGATCTTTAGATAAGAGAGATGGGTAACTTTCGACGATTTAATAACAGTTTGTATCATTGAAAACGAGATGTTCAAGATGATGAAAAAATTACGTTTGAAATCACAGCATAGTACAGGTTTTAACATATTAAATTTAGACAATAACGATACGTAATAGAATTGCATTAGGTATTCAAATGCTTAAGCATTGGCAGCGTTTTTTTCTCTGCCGAACGTTGCCGGCAGTGCTGAACACGTTGAAAGACGGACTTCGCGGCTCGGGTAACACGAATTCGATGCTTCCCGAGCCGATTTCACGAGGATGCGAGCTAGAATTTCCATGGAGACCGTGTGCCGTGTTTTCTGCCTCGATTGACGGGAAATAGAGAGGAACCGGGAATACGCGCGGCACATACATAGACAACGATGATCCTCGAGGAGAACGCCGTATTATGACGAGAAGAAAGAATGGAAGCGATCCTGTCGGACGATTAAAAAGTTTCTGCGACAGTCAAAGAAAGCGCTGTCGTCAAACGTTATTCGGGAAACTTGGAATATTCCGATATACGGAAAGTTCGCAGACAATTGTGAACTCCGCTCGAAAGTTTCTGTCTTTACGTTCGGAACTGAAACATTTAATTAGGAATGGTGTAACGTTCCCGTTTCTTGCGAAAGGGCGCTCGCCGGAAGCAGAGCAAGCAGATCGGGAAACAGGGAATCATGGGAGTCGGAAGGTAAACGGGAATAAGTATCGTCCGCGCGTTTTTCGGTCAATGCCACACCGTCGTCGAGCATAATTCCTTGAATTCGTCGGCAGTTTAATACCCCCGGGGACGTTTATAGTAGAGCAATAAATACACTGGCCTCCAACCAATGGGGAAAGCACTACCTACCAGCAGTTCTGTGTCCGCAGGACGAAATTACTTCGAAGAATTCGAGCACAAAAGTTTCCATTCTTCGTCGAGCTCAGCATTCAAACAGAAACACTGCTAACTTTATACGAATCCATAACGCTGCCGGCTATTAAGTACAAGTTATTTCGGGAAAAATTTTCTGGGACCGTTTATCGAACTGTATTACAATGATCGGGGCAAAATTTGTCCTTCGTGCTCCATCGAGTGATCGAAACACTTTTATTTAATTAAAAGTGCAGGGAACAGGGATTTTAAAAGGATTATCGTGTAATAGTTACAGAGGTAAAACATTTTTCTGCAGGGAAATATTGACGATACGAGAACTGCGAGAAAATATTATTTGAAGTCGCGTTTGTTTATTTATTGTGCAGCGAAAAATCATGTGAATCTATTCGACGTGGAAGTCCTTATTTTTAGTTATGCAAATGCAAGACATGAATAATTTTTCTAAAAGTAGACAGTGGCTCTTGTAAATGCGACAGACTGGTGTTAAACCAACTTTCAGAGGGACAGCATGAAAAATTGAACATGTTACATTTAAAGAAAAATTACTTTCTTTTCGTTAGAGACAGCTGTCACGTATAACAAATGCGTTTTTCTAATACAGTTCTAATACAGTTCCTGATAAAACCAGAGGCGGATTAGGTATTGGTTAAATAAGTTATAGTCCAGGGTAGCAGTTTAGGGGGTGGCGGTTTTTGAGGAAAATTCCACATTAGGTTTTTTTATATAGAATAAAGAATCGTACGATCTTTACAACTGATTATTGTACGGAGCGAAGAAAAATAGTAATTATTTCCTACATATTATATCACATTTCAACTGGACTAATAGTTTGGTGGAGATCGACCCCTTATTAGGACGTAAAAGATTTAAATAGTAAACAAAAGATCACAAATTAACAGAAACGATACACGATAATGTCCACTTTAACGCTAGAATCCGCGTTTTCTAAATATTCTGTAAAATTTAACAAAAAAATAGAACTGAATTTAGAAAATTAAAAATTTTAAATCTAAGAAAGTTTTCGTACTTTTTTTGTTTCCCTTCCTGTATCCTTTTAAATTTAATTCTAAGTTCGCACCTATGTAACAAATAAAAGTAGCCTGCGATTTCACACAGAAAAAGCAGAAACTCGCCCGCGACTTGTGGGTGCCCCGTTGGACTTGTAAATGGAAGAACAAAATTTTTAAGAACCGAGAAGAATACCAGTGTCATGCGCTTTCTCTCATAAAGCTGTAAACAGATTCGCTCGCAAATTACTCGAAAAGCAGCGCAGATAATGGGTTCCGGACTAAACGAAGCTCCTATCCATAAAATATCCGGATACCCGTGGTACTTTCGTCACGTGGTGAGCAACGGCGAGCGGATCGTGGAGTGGCAGAAAATCAATCAGCGGACACTTCGGCTGCAAACAGAGCCGACGCTCGTCGAGGGAAAGAGTTCGAGGGCGAGACAGCCGCGCGCCGTAAGGCCGACGTGCTTTAAAGTCAATGCACCGAGTAACCGCGATATTAAAAATTCTATTTACGGCTCGCGTGCTTTCGCGCCAGCCTTTTTCTTCGAGCGAAAATTTCAGAAAGCCCGTCCATGCTCGGCCTTCCGGAAGAAGGAAATCAAATCTACCCACGAAGGGAACGGAAAATAGTTTCCATCTGGTTGGAAGTTGTTTTGCTAACGGGAAAAACGAAAGATATACTTTCCACTCGAAGCAGACGCGACGCTTGTCTCATTTTCCACCGTCGCGTTTAGCCACGCAAATATTTACTCGGCTAAACGCACTTCCACCCGGCGTCCACCCCCGCAACAAACCGTCCCGGACGGTATTGCCTGGGTCGACGGTCGCCGAAATGGCCGGCGAAACGACCGGAGGGAATTATTTCCGCGGCACAACCAGGCGATTTGTGTTCTTACTTACCGCGGACAAGGATGAGGGCGCTGGACAGGAATACGAGTCTCAGCGGCCAACTGGCCATCCTGGCGTAGACCGTTACGTCGATTCAGCTTCCTCCTGAAACAATACAAGCGTGCCCAATCAATCAACCCATCCATCCCAATCCGCTATCCGCGTATCCCAGCCAACTCTCTAGCCAGGCCTTTCTCTCCGCTGAACCCTTTCCCCTGTGCGCAGCCTACCCCCGCGGACCTTTGTCTCCCTCGGCAGACTATCCGCCGCGACTTTCCCTCCCTGTTACTCTCTTTCATTGCATGCCCACGATCGGACCTCATCCCACCTTTCGCCCCGTCCTTTCTGGCAGACTGCCCGTTCCACACCCACGCCGCCAACCCCGTACCCACCGCCACGTCGTTCCACCCCCCTCGCTTCAAGCCCAAACCCCTACTTCGCATCGACAATTTTTTTTCCCTCTCGATCCCCTGCCTAGGATTTGTCCGCTCAATGAAAGTCCTCCCAGACGGCGCACGTCACGCGCATAATCATAAAACACGCGATGCGTACCCACCAGCGGATAGTTTCCCTATACCAGCCGATACGTTTATTCTTTTCAGACTATGCCGCGACTTTGTTTGCCTGCCTCTCGTCCCGCCGGGGCTTTCCTCGGATACCTCACGTTTTTTCGCGCTGCGTGATAGTTTAGGGAAAGATCGGTTACTATATGTATGCATCATTTACTCTCTTAACACTTTGACTGCCACGTCACCCTTTTGCGGGACATCCGGTTGTGTCTTCCTAATTTTACTGGGATCTGAAAAGCCTAGGAATGTTGGAAATGTAATTGACGTCATATGGTTTAACTTTACAATTTTAATATGATGAAATCGAAGACGCAAGTACACGTGGGCCGTTCTCGGACCAAATCGATTAACTTCACTTTTTGAAATATATGAAACTTAAGTGTCAAAGCACTTGGTTCGGTCACAGCTTTTTTTATTTATGATAAAACAAAATTTTTTTGATCGCCGAATAATAGATAATTTATTTCTTGGTGTAGAATTGCACCAAGGCTATTCTATCTTATATGAAAACTATGTCTGCGTTTATGCATTGTACAATGTTTATTTCAATTTTTATATTAAATTTTATTTTAAATTGTTTTCAAAAACAATTCACATTTCTCCACATTCGTGTCAAACGAACTTTCTATTTTGGTTTAATTAACCTGTCAATTTCGTTCACTTCATAAAACCTTTTCCGAGATTATGATTATTTTATGAAACAATACGTATAAAAGTATCGGAGAATATTAAAAAATTATAATTTATACGTACAGAAGAATACTACATGCAAAAATAAGTCGAAAAAGAAGGATAACATTTTTTCATTGAAGGCTCCGTTTCGAGGAAAAATAGATTGAAAGACTAATACTATTAAATAGGAATCAAGTGACGCGTCTGGCCATCACATATCAATTCTACTTCTCCTCATACTACAAGCTATAAAAATCTGACGGATCTTTAAATTTATTTTTCTTGAAAACGCAGTCTTAAGTGAAAAAATGTTACCACGATTTTTCACCCACCCTGCATACTTCCAAGAAGTAAAATCGAGAAGCCATGATCAGACGCCTCAACGGATTCTTATGCGATATCATGCATATCTTTCTCAAAAACGGAACTTCAAATAGTGAAGTTTCCTTTCACATTTTCCAGATATTTTTCACGCAAAATTACTCCGTCTACAGTTTCATTATTATCCGCGAGATACATCTTATATTTTCTAGCGTATGTATGTAGACGACGTGGGTAGCCGCCGGTAAAATATATTAGATTCCAGTGCTTGCGTTTTCCGCAGAAATATTCGATCGATGCATCGGTGAAACGGTCGTATCAAAGCGGCGAAGGATTTTCGTTTGGAGTTGGGCAAAAGGAATCGACGTTCTCGCAAAGAGAATATCAACACGATTCCCGGGGTTGTATTCCATTTATTGGTTCGGCCGTTCATTGCGCACGTCGTCGTGCTACCTTTTTCCTCATCGTCGCCGTGAATATTGAACATTTTTTCTCGTCTTGGTGTTCGCAAACGCTCGTCACGATGCTGAATAGGTGCGCGAGACGGCGACGATTCGCGGGCCGTCCAATTCGTCTCGACCCGAAGGAACACAGCACGGTTAACGACCTCAGCAGCGTCGACCGAAGGTGAAGGCCGTATTTCGAAACTTTCAATCTTTTTTTTTTCACTTGGATCTGACGCACGAACGACTATATAAACCGTGGAAAAGGGATGAAAATATCGAGCAAACAGTCGGTCTTTGCGGAAATGAAATGCAGACGGTTTGCTTTATTTGCGCATGCTAATTGTATGCAAACTGCGATACCCCATCATGTACCGTTCAATCCGCAATATTTACATACCTTGTCGATACTCTCGCGTGTGTCGTCATCCGGAAATACTTATAACAATATTGGTTAATGATGTAACCGGAATAATCCTCTCTGCTCCGTTAAACTGCAGAGTTCGGTGAATTTTTTGTTTCCCAGATCTTGCGGGGGTTCGGAATAGAAGCATTTGCATCCCCCAGCTGTATACTCCGTGTTTCGATGCTAAGAATCGCAACGAGTCAATGAACCGCACGGATCCAGGAATAAAGGGCAATCTGTGCTCGAACGACGCGAAACTCTTTGACCGAGCGTTCCGGACTTTCTGAAACCCGTGCACAGTAAATATGTAACATATTTACTAATTAGTGAGATGTAAAGAGACCGGGAGTAAGCCGCCGCTAGCGTTATTAAACTACGCCGAGAGGACGCAGTGTAACGCAGCTGTGTTTGCTCAACTGTGTATTTTACTATTGCAAATACAATTTTCATATTAACGAGAGAACAGCCCATAGACCGTGCCACCCTCCTTTTGCACACCAACTCAGGATACATTCGAAGTTACATTAATTAGTAGCACGATAACCTCAGTCGTTGTTATGCAAAGTGTTGCGAACATTTGCGCATCGTGCTCGGGAAATGGTGTCGCATGATTTATACATGTATCGATTAAGATCTAATTAGTTAGGCGAAATAACTCCGATTACTTATTAGTGCGAATCTATTGTTTCGGGGGAGATATATCGAAACCGGTTGGGAAATTGCAGGTAAAACCGTTGAGGTTACCAGTAAAATAGCACCTCGATATTTCTGTCACATGAGTCAAGTATTATAGTCGTAACAACGAAACTATTGTCACAGAATGTGGAACAAAGAAATACAGCTATACTCGTGGGATTAGAAACATTAGGAATTTTCAGATCTGACCTAACGAGAGTGCAGCTTCGGGTACTACAGTAATTTCTCCTTAATTCGCGCTCAGATCGTGCACAAAAATGGGAAGCGGAGATACGATTATTCGAGCCTGGTTTCATGTTTTTATAGTTGGCAATCGGTAACGATAAAAACGAGCCGCAAGGTTCAAGCAATCGTACCTTCGCTTCCCAAATCGTCCATTTTTTGTGCGCAATCTGAGCGCTAATTAGGGAGAAATTACTGTACTTCAGAATTCAGAACGAACCCGACATCTTCGGGCACTCGAACATTATAGTAACTTTCGAGATCGTAACCACTAACCAGGGAAGTTCGATAATCCGAAAACTTTTTAATTCGGTCTTTTTATTGAAGTCGCAGCCGATTTCGGCGCGACAATTCAGGTCGCGACGAGCGATGTGATACTTGACCGGCTTAAGGCCACGTGAAAATCATGTTACTATAAGTCGTTGGATTCGTCTTGTGATCTTACCTATCGCGATACAATGATAGAAATATGTAATTCTATTTTTAAAAAGAACATCGATGACCTTGAAATCTCGAAAAATATGACTTTAAAAAAATATTATTTCTACTGAAACATGTGTCCCTCCTAATCATACAATTAACGACGGGCGTAATACAAGTCTTTCTCATAATCTGCAAGCAATTCGATACTTAAGTACTTGTTTGGGTATTTCGATATGTATCAAAAGATAAGGAACTTGTAATCGATTTGTGATACCAGTGCGTGCCGAAATGATAGTAGCTCTTGTTATCACGGTAACGTCGAATGTATCGATATTATCGAGCCGGTGTTGTAATCACGAAGATTTCGCGTAACAAACGAAAACAGAAAGAAAATATCTGCTAGGAATGAGAATTCATTAACGTATTGGAAAACAAATACATCAAAATACTCAATATTATTACAAAACTGGCAACATAATTAATAAAAAAAGAAATCGAATGAAATACAATGTAATAAATAAAATATTCATTTTACATGACTAGATTGTTTGTCGTGTATTAGTTAGAAATAAATAGTCTATTACTATTATCCTTATTTTTGATCGCATTTTATTTATATTTCATAAAGCTAACATGCTCACCATAACTATCATCGAATCTTTTCGTACAATCGAACATACCAGATAAGTATTTCAGCACAGAATTGCTTGAAGATCATGAGAAAAACAGACATCACGTTGATGTCTATCATAGAGATAAAATTTCGGTTGTTATCGTTCGACACTACAGTAATGTGATAGTATCGCTAACAAACCCATCCAAGATGTAGTTATACAGGATCGTGGCTTCCGAGCAGCTATCATTAAAGTTCGATACTTTTTGATACCCAGAGACGATACCCATGATACTCATGATTCTTCGTCACAAATAATTGATACCGCTTGAACATGCTCAAGATTTTTTTATATATGTATACATACATAAGGTTATTTATCTGTATCTCCAGCATTTTTTAGTATTGTTAACGATAACGGAGATACGGTAAAGCAATTCTAAGCAAATTATTATTCGATTATTCGATTATTCGAGCCTTGCGGCTCGTTTTTATAGTTGTTGACTAGGTTGTTTGTTACACGGTTTTCGATATCTTCGGTCTACTAAAAATAAAAAACATTATAGTAGAGTTTGAAACTGAACATTGCAATTCGAAGTGTTACCATGTGTTCACGCTGGTTTCTAATAGACAAGAAGGACGTAAAATGTAATGCGCTCCACATATTACTGTAAATTCTCCCTAATTAGCCCTCAGCTTGGGAACAAAAATGGACAATTTGAAAAGAGGAGGTACGATTA